TCGCCCCTATATACGCATCAAAGGGTGACCTGTATACCATATACTCCCAGACCATAGGACAGTAGTACCTTGGAAACAGGATTTCCCATGTGTTAGAAATGACTCTGCTTCTCATATTCACAAATTTTACTCTTCTACTCCGCAGTTCTCATGACATTTCTGTCGTCATCTTCTCATCAAACAGCCTTTGAGTTTTGAACCCATCCTTATAGATTTCTCTAGAACACAGTACAATCATTTAACAGAGATTAGATAGGCCGAGAGGCTGCAAAACAACTTCTAACAAACACACAGCTGAAGATGGATGGATGGAGTGACTGATTTTTATGAGGGTAAAATGAGATTCAGAATTCAATTTCTTGTACAGGAAAACAACTCTAACAACTTTAAAAGTCCCCATACATTACAGGTTACACGTTGTACCTGTCACCAACTCCCGCAAGATTCGGTTACACTTTATGTTCTGCCATAATTGGTGAGGAGGGAAATGTTATGTGGCAAAAAAGGTGTGTGTGTGTGTACACAGGTGTGTCTTTTGGAAGTTGAAAACTTGATACAATTAAAGTACCTTATTTCAAGTAAACACCATCACTGCTCTGAAGGCTGCCTCTCCATATGGTCCTTGTCTTCTTCGTCTTTCTTTCTCCATCTTAAACATGTACTGAAGGTAGAGCAGAGTGAAAATACAATATTCATATACATTACCGCATTTTTTAACAAAATGTTTTTTGTTGCTGTCAATTGGAACAGGTGAATCAAAAGTCTCCTGGTGGAATTTTGACACATTTGTTTAAATATTCATCAACATTTGGGGGAAAAAAAAGATCTGGAGTTTTCTAATTATAATATGGGCAACAACTGCTCTCTGAATTATTCTCCCTCATTTACATTGAACTAAACATATATTCATATCAGACTTAAGTCTTACAGAAGGGACAGAATTGATTAAAGTTTAATCCCGGTTCCTTGGCAGAGCTGAATTGATTAAAATATAATTCCCATATGGCCTGCCACTAGTTAATAGAAAAGAAGATTTTTGGATGCTAATAGATCCAGAGACTACATCTGCAACAGCTCACGTCAGTCGCTTGCAGTAGTTTTACTGCAGTAACCTTTGCTTACATCTAGTAATATTGGTCATAAAAGTTGACTCGGTGTCTACCATCTATGTATTTCAAACCCTAGCCCAGAGGTTCCCAAGCTTTTTAATGCCAAGCCCCCCCACCCCACCCAAACAGTATTGGCATCTGGCCAGGGACCCCCTTTGCAAACCCACAGACAATGCTACAAAGTATGTAAAGAAACATTAGCTTTTAGAATGTATTTTCTCACTTTTAATCACACCTCAATACTTTGTACTTTGTAATTTGTTTAGTACTGTATATACCCACTGAAATAATACACAAAATGATAAACTGTTGGTTTACTACTTTGGTCTATCCATTTTACACAAGCTAGCTAAATGCTAGCTTGTGGAGCAGAGTATCTTGATAACTTAGATAGGTAAATAGATGGATAGATAGATAGACAGACAGACAGACAGATAGATAGATAGACAGATCATAGAGGTGCGTTCAGGTACCATCATGAAAGTTGAGAATCCAACGATTATGGCAATTGATGTTTCAAGGTTCAGGACAAATTATTAGAACTGAAATATTTAATTCTCTTATTGGGCTTTTTATTTCTTCCCTTCCCTCCAATTTTCCAATAGTGCCCCCACTTTGAAAAAGTGGCTCTGGCTGCCTTAGCCAACCTGCCAGACCTGACTTATAAAACAAATCCTCTCCCCTTGAATCTTGCATCCTTAAAGCCCAGAGGAGTTTGATGAGGCACAGGCTCTAATCCAAATTGGTCCAATAGATGCCTTAATAATGTGAAAATGGCGAGTGCAGGCTATCGACTGAACAAACAAACACACGCACGGTCGCCCACAGTCTCCAAAAGAATGGACAAAACACAAAATGGATAGATGATGAAACTCATGTTGAAAAGGCCAACTATCACACACAGATAAAGGTCACATCCCTGACATATTTCATCAGTCATTGTTTACATGTCATCGCGTGCACGCAAACCTTCAGCGGTGCCAAATCTAGCCACATCACTTAGAGGGCTGTCACGCCGAGCCTCTTGTCTTTCCGCACCTTTCCGTGCGTGTTGTCCCCGCTAATGTTCGCAGCTGAAATTGGCTCCAAAACCACACGTCTCTTTTGATTTGACCTGGCAGAACCTGAAACAATAACTTCATTAGGCCGTGTTAAAGTCTCATCGTGAGCAGACAGCTACAGAAACACACACTGATTTCCCCTTCATCTGGTCTAGAGGGCACCTTTCTTTTATTTTGGCTCCTTTCAGATCACAGTCATCTTCTATAATTAGGATTTTTGTTTTCTCTCCAAAGGACATGGCCACCTGCAAGAAAGATGTAGGTCTATGTGTATAGAATGTGAATGCTGAAAGAAATATATATATTACATATGCTAATGCAAAAAAAAAAAACATCTTTGGATGCAACTACCTGAATCATTACAAATATGGATGCACTCCTACCGATGCTTGTGTGGAAGCAAAGTTTTACTTTTAATCAAATCTGGATTGAACTAGTTTTCCTTGCCTGCCTCGGTGTCTTTACCATTTTCAACAGAGCTGGGCTTTCGGTGTTATGTATCAGCAAGTACAATAATGAAAATAAATTACTTGTATATATTTGTAAAGTATATGGACCTCGCTAGCATACAACATGTATGCTACATGTAGGTAACACGTACCGTAAACAAGTCCCTGTCTTTGACTAGGTCCTCAAAGTTGGGACACCATTCAAATAAACGTATCTGTAGAAACTGATTATCATCTTCACACTCTTTTAGTTGGTTGGTTGGTTTTAGTTATCATCTTCACACTCTTTTAGTTGGTCATTTTTTCTAACATCATTGTTGTTTGTGAAACGTTCTGAAACACACAAATGAGTTTCTCCTAACCGTGTCCTCCCTCCATGACCCTAGTCGTGGGAAATATGGAAGAGCTCGAAACGGGAGACCCTGTAGTCCAGTGTTGTGAAGTGTATCCTCTGGTCAAGGACACAGCCTGGGTGAGGGGTGGATGGGGGTGGGTTTGTGGTAGGCGGTAATGTTGGTGTGTTCTGTTTTTAAACTCATCGTCTACTGGTGCAGTTATTCTTCTTTATTCTCCTCACTGATGTCCAACACCTGCTTCCTTTCCCCATGCTTTCTGAATGTGAATAATCTCCAAAAATAGAACATGTTGACGTAATAGTTGACTTCGCTAATGTAAGGAGTCTATATGACAGACATCGAGTTCCATAAGACAGTTCACAGACTCAAGCTAGGTCCGTTTTGTACCGAGTTAGTCTAATATTCTGATAATTGTATATGTGTAATGATCAATCTCAGCAAAACCGATCAAGTCTTAAGCTACAATATTGAAAAAACACCAGAACATAAATATATACTGGAGGAGCACAGCTATGACAACACCCTAACAGACACGAGCACATCCGTAAATAAACACCCAGAAAAGTGTATGTCGCAGATAAGTACGAGTTCTTCCACATACACAATAGTAAATTGTATCTCCCCCCAAGATATACGATTTCAGTTTGTTTTATTAAAAACAGACGAGACTGTTTTGTTTTTTTTCTTTCATGCAGTAGAGGAGATGATTTTCCCACGCTGTTTTGCAATATTCTCTACGGTAGGGTGACTATTGTAGAGTATATTGCAAAACAAAACAAATCAAAACGCATTCGGAATATTTCCCTGTCTTCATTGCGAGAATAATTCTACACACAAAATGTACACGTAATAACAATACAAGACTGTCTCCGACACACACGAATATTTTTCCCACAAGGCCATAGAGGTGTCTTGTTACAGAGTCCTATGGCTTGATTTGACGATGCAGTCTATATTTCACTCTCAGATGTGCACTGGGGTTGTGTTCCTTTCACAAACACACTTCGTCCTTCCTTACAGCCATTGATTAATCTATGAAAAAGCCTTCTGCTGACCCCACATCCTTCTCCACCAATAATTACTTCATAGGTTGTGTTCTTAGGTCACATCCTTCTGTACTACACATCCTGTGTTTGGACTCTCCTCCTCTACAGTACTCTACCTCCACCTAGCTTGTCCACAGCCGACTATGTTGGGATGAGGGGAAATAGATGTCAAAGGTTGCATCATGTCAGATACAGTGTGGATGCAAATATTAGGATTTTTTTTTTGAGAAAAACAGTCTAAATGAATGAAGTCTGAAGTGACATCAGCGGAGGAGAGTACAAGGAGAAAAATTACACCTGTCATACACACCTTCACCACAACTCCTGGTAACACATTAGTATTGGACCCTGGTAAAACACTCAACCCTGTCCCCCCCTCCATCCATCTATTCATCCAGATGGATGGTAATGACTGCAGACACACTGTTGAATTAAACATTGCCTTCCAGTCAGTAACACTGCTTCCCTGCTTTCGATAGCAGAACAGGGTGACATTTTTTTTTCCACTGGCATAGGCACTTTATCATTTGCTGCACAGGTGCATTGGAGGTCAATGACACAGGCCGAGCATTGTTCTAATGCATTCCATCTGAGGGCAAATGAGATGCATTTCCCTGTGAACTTTCAGTTACGGGGTCAAATCCCAACTGCCCTACAATCTATTTGACTGTCAGAATCAGGATGCCTTTTTTGGAAAAGAAGTACGTGCCCAGCCCTATAATGTCTGCAGTGAACCAGGGTTTCATCTCCCTAAAGTGCTACCCAGGAAATCCCATGTGATTGAAACAGTCCCTTTAAATTCCTTGTTTCATTCTGTGTACTACTTTGTGTTTCATGTGGAAGCTTACCCTGAGACCGTGACTCATTTTTATTCTTTGCCTTTTTTTTCCTCTTTTCCCCTCTTTCCACGGTTTCTCCTCCCTGCCTCTGTACTCTTTCTCTTTGATTTCTCTCTCCTTTACCTCGCGTCGGCCTCTAGGTCGCCAGCTGACCATCTTCAACAGCCAAGCGTTCATCAAAATAGGTGGAGGTGGAGAGACGGGACGCCACTTCCAAGGTCAGATCTCGGGTCTGTACTACAACGGCCTGCAGGTGCTCAAACTGGCGGCAGAGGGCGACCCTAACGTCCAGACGCAGGGTAACCTGCGGCTAGTGGGTGACGTGCCCTCTGTGCTAACCACGGACACCACCTCCACCACACCACTGGCTGACATGTCCACCACAATAATGGAGACTACCACCACCATGGCCACGACTACTACCCGCAAACAGCGCTCACCCACCATGAGGGACAGTGTAACACAGGTGAGTAGTTTCTCCTGTGTGATCCAGGAAAGAGTAGCATGTTTCACAGTGGAATGTGTCCCTAAAAAGTTATTTGATTGACAGGGAAAGAGTAGCATGTTTCACAGTGGAACGTGTCCCTAAAAAGTCTCTTATTTGATTGACAGGGGGCTTTTTACTGGAATACATCTCAATGAAACACTGCCTGTAACTTTAAACTGACTTTCCAATGTCCTCAAAAATGTTTTCAACTTCTTAGAACAGGGTTGTCAAACATATGGCCCTCTAGGGTGTTCATTCCGGCCCACTTGCTACATTTTGAAAGTAAAAAAAAAATCACATTCAGGATATTTTTTGCAAAATCATATTTCATTAAATATGAATAAATAATAATAAATATCTAATTGTACTGGTTTGCATGAAAAAAGGGGAAAAACTCGGACTTATTCTTATATATAGTTATTATGTTACAGCCCACTTGACTTCAGGACTTTGTTAGGTTGTATGAGGCCCATGAATTGAAATGAGTTTACACCTGGCTTATAATGATATTCAAAATTTCTAAAGTGCATAGCCAAGAAGCAGAATGGCTCTATCTGGACAGCAAGCATTTTTTTTGTACAAATCTTGTTCCTCCTCTTGTTGTCCACAACCATGTTCAGACCCTCTCTCAGCCTGAGAGGTCGCCTTGGGGCTTCTGTGAGTTACAATCCACACATCCAGATGATGATGTTAATCGCTACCCCTTTTGCTGCAAACACAAGCAAAAATATATATATTTTTTTCTTTTAATTCTTCTTACAGATTAAATAATATTTGTTTTTTTCTTTTAATTCTTCTTACAGATTAAATTCTAAATATTTGTTTTCGTGCCAGATTCTCGTTGTATTTTCATTTGACAAAGCCTCCCAGCCTAATCAAAGCTGCGCCGCGATACGTGCCGACAAAAGATATGAGCTTGTGGTTTTGAAATACGTGCAAGCAAGCACTTCCTCCCTCCGTCATGGTTGAGGCTGCCATGTAATTAACAGAAACTTGGAGAGTTTCTAACTCCAAGGTCACTTTTTTTCGCTTCAAACACGAGTGTTAAGAAAAAAAAAAAAGCAAATGCACAGTTGGCTCACTGTCTTCGGTTTAGTGTTTCTCTGTCTTCTCCCAAGATGTGGGATCAATGGAACCCGACTCTTAGATGTAACATGTTGCAATACACTTAGTTCAATATCATATCTCAGGGCTCCAGACCTCTTGCCGGAAACATTTCTCTCTGTTCAGCATTTAACGGTCTTTTATAGCCTTGGTCTATTATGTGGAATTGGCAGCGATAGACAGCACCGTTTGATGATTCTTCTGAACCCTTCTCGGGACAGCAAAGGTCTCTCTCTTTGTTGTCATAAGCCTTAATGTGTTCTGCACTCACTGATAGATGTTTATGTTTGGTTATATAAAATATAAAAAAGAAAAAAGCAGAGTCCCGTCTTTTAAGTGCTTTTTATTTTCTTCGGCCTGCATGCACACATTTGAACTGCCGCTTCCCTTATTACTGTTATTGCCGTTATGACTGTGTACCTGGATG